GATCTGAGGGGGCTGGTGCCTTAAACATACACATTCTACCATCACCTTCATTGCCCAAATGCAAACAGGCACCAACAAGTTCTTGCAACATCTCCACGCATCCCACAAAACCATGCAGGTTATACTGGATACCCTGGATGACGCAAGGAGGCGCAATAACCTCCAAACTAGGGCTATTGCGGAATCTGTTACAGACTGTGAACTGCCTCATTTTCTATGCCAGCTAGTGGCTGCTCTACTGCCACAGAGCTCAGCAAAAGGTATTCAGGTAGACAGCTGCTTCAGACTGACTAAGTCAAACAGGGCACCAGCTGGGGCTCACTGAGATGTTCTGGTACGTTTCCCCCTGCTTCTTGACAAGCTGGCCATGCAGGAAGCGGTGAAAACCAGAACACCCCTTCAGTTTGAGGAGATGCAACTCCAATTCCTGCTGGACTTATGTCGCTCCACCCTGGAATGGAGACGGTCCTTCCAACATGTAACAAAGAACCTGCGCTCCGCAAATATCAGCTACAAGTGGGGCCCCTCTCGAGCCCTCATAGTCAAAGATGGACGCACACATCAGCTCTCCACAGCGGAGGACTCTGCTGCCTTCCCTCAGAGACTGGGCCCTACCCTGTCTTCAGGCAGAACGACACATCCAGGCCACAGTTGGGACGTACACAGAATTGTGTACCTTTTACCCCACGTGCTGCAGCTGACACAGGCTGATATTGAAGAAGCCTCAGCAGCCACACAGAGACGGACTGACTTCCTCATCAGTCCCAGTTGCTTGTTGACTATATTTTTCGTTAATTTAGAGTATTGCTCATTACTGATTAAGTTTCCAGTCTTACTTTACACTGACTCCAGATACCCGCACACCTCCTAAGATCTACCCCGATCAAAGGACATAGAGACAGTCCGACACATACACACACTGAACGAGACAGTCAGACAGACACACACACAAAGTACTATTAATACACTCAAGTACTATTAATACACTCAAACATTCATACATACACACAGACAAATACACAGATTTTCTTCTTTTTTTTTTTTTTAAATACAGATTTTTTTTGTCACGCTCCTGTTTCCTACCTTTTGAGCTCAGGAGGGTGGCTTCCTTGGTGTTTAGTGGGATTAGGCAGCAGAAAGTGACAGGTTTGTGGGGCTGGCTGCGGGTGATGGGAGTAGGCAGCCGCTGTTCCAGACTCCCTCCTTTCTCCGCCTCACTGTCTCAGCAGCTCTCTCTGCGCCGGGAGGAAGTGAAGGGAACTGTAATAACTTCCTCCCGGTGCTGAGGTCACGCAGGGGAAAGGACTGGTTGCTGGTGTTCCATTGACTTTGCGGCATGGGAGCTGGAGGCGGGTAGGGAGCAGGGTCGGCTTTGCGGCATGGAGGTGGCCGGGTAGCAGGGTCGGATATGCAGCATGTGGGTGGGTAGCAGGGTCGTGTATGGGGTCGGAAGGAGGGCATGGAGCAGAGCAGTGTTTACCTGGTATCCTGCCAGGTTAGCTAGCAATTCCCCTGCATGGGGATTAAGCAAGAAGTAGGAGGGACCGGGCTGACCAATCCCAGATGCCAGGACAAATATTTAGTCGCCATAGCGACCTGGGATTTGTCGAGCCTTGCACTATACACACTACATTCACTTTACGCACACTGCACACACTGCATTCACTATAGACACACTACAGAAACACACTCACTCTGCATTCATTATATACAAACACTACACAAATACACTGCATTCATTATACACACACTACACAAACACACACACTATACACACACCATATCAACACTCTGCAATCACTATACACACACCCTTTGTAGTGTGTATATAATGAATGCAATCACTATACACACAATACACACACACTACAAAAAATCTGCAATCACTGTACACACACTACACAAACACACACTGCACTCATATACACACTCTGCATTCATTATACACACACACTACACACACACACACTGCATTCACTATACACACTACACAAACACACTCTGCATTCATTATATACACACTGCATGCATTACACCAGGGGTCCTCAAACTACAGCCCGCCAAGGTAGTAAACCCAGCCCACGGCACCAAGGCCACCCGATGGGCCTTATATGTTCAGGGGCCCGGTCAGCGCTGCAGCCGTGCAATAGCGCGACTGGGCCCCTTTAAAAAAACATTTTAAAAATTGCAGCCGTAATGTACTGCTGGGAGGAAGTGACGGTCGGTCACTTCCTCCCAGCTCCCTCCGCTCTGCGCGGGAGGGAATAAAGCCAGGCCACGGGAGCAACGCCGACTCCCATCAGCCACAGACATCCACCTGCGAAAAAGGTAAGCAAAATTAGCTGTATTTGTGTATGTTAGTATGTATGTGTGTCTGTGTCAGTATGTATGTATGCATGTATGTGTCATTATGTATGTCAGTATGTATGTGTGTCAGTATATATCAGTATGTATGTGTGTGTGTGTCAGTATGTATGTATGTATGTATGTATGCGTGTCAGTATGTCTGGGTGTCTGTATGTATCTATGTATGTATGTTGTAACAAAACCCCTTGTTTAAACCATATAATTGCTACTGAGAACTGAGACTATTCGTTCATTTGTCTTCACTAAAATCATGCATTTGGCCCTAATCATTTGTTTACCGAATATTTTGTCAAACGACCGACCACCCAGCACAGGAGCGAGAGACCAATTAACCCTCTTGACCTGTGCAAACACCTCAACATTCTAATGGTTTATCAGGGTGGTCGGCATTCGTTTGTGCGAACACGTGGCAGCGGTCATTTTGTTTAGTCGAACGCACTCACCAGGAACTGATTTTGGCTACCTTTTTCCACGAACACCACTGAACTTCCACCTTCAGTGCGTTCGGCTAGAAATATACAATTAGAGCGCCAATTCGTGGGTTTCTTCATACGAACAATCTGCATCCAGTGAGGGGAGGCACGAACAGTTCAGTTCGTGCATTTTACATCTATTACAACCGGAAAATGTGTGTCTGTGTATGTCTGTATGTCTATGTATGTATGTATGTCAGTATGTGTGTGTGTATTTATGTCCTTATGCGTGTGTGTGCAGTGTGCATAGGAATTTGTTCATATTGACCAACAGTGTCTGAGGGACCGTGAACTGGCCCCCCGTTTAAAAAGTTTGAGAACCCCTGCACTACACAAACACACAGCTCCCCTGTCTAAACACATGACTTCCACTATATGTGGCATGTATATTTTGTGCATTTACCTTTAGATTTACACAGAGGAGCTGAAGG